GGAGAGTAAATCCGGCCCTGAGTGCAGTAGTATTACTGTGGGTAGTATGTACAGGAGAGGAGTGTGAGGGGTCTGATGGTAGACAGTATATACAGGATTGCAGGAAGGAGTAGTAGTGTGACAATTGTGTAGCACTACTGAGCAGAAGACAGAGCCTGCATCCGTAATGAGAAAATATAACTCTCCCCAATGAACATTTGTGTTTACAAATTACACATATAAAACATTTTTACAAAACATTAACACTCATTGATAACATTATTTCAAGAAATCTTTTTTTACAAGTATATAAAAAAAATCTTTAAAAAGACTTTACATTCCGTTTAAGTTGGAAAGCCCTGTATTAAGAGACTGTACCTCAGCTGGAGGTCTTGATCTAAGGAATGTGAAAGCTATGAAGAAGCAAAGACACGTAGGAGCCAGATCTAAGTCACATTTTATGAAAACTCAAATATTTTGCATAGTTGCCATCCGTCAGTAAAGACCATAGAAAATTGTTTTTAGCTGGTGAGTGAATCAATCGTTAAATGGCCGGACCCTTGTGCTAATGTCCAAGTACCATTTTCTAAGTTTAAACAATGCAGGACAAATTGCAGCCATGTGACAATGCACACTGCTCACACATTTCCCTATGCCTAGCTTAAAATGCTAAAAATACCGTATATTGTAATTTATATTGTCTTTAGGAATTAATATAAATGTATTCACACTAAAGCTAAAACCTTTCATATAATCTATCGGCACCAATCTCAGGGGTATAAAAGTTTGACTGTTTGGCAATGCAGCCCTTCTCTTTCTCTCAGAAAGGTTTCCTTTATTTAAAGAGCAATAACTTGGAATTTGGAGTTGTAATAAAGAAAACTATTAAGCAACGGCAAATGTGAATGACCTTGGAAAGTTAGAGATTAAAGCCTCAAATCTTGCCATATTCATATCATGCAGTTTTAATGTAAAATAGGTGTCCGACCTTTTAAAATATTGCAAATACTTTTTCCTTAGACAACAACATACTCAGCCTTACTCATATACTAGGAGCAATCACCTGCTGAAAACTGCTCATGATTTGCCTATCTGTGTACTGACGATGGAGAGAGAATAGGATCTGGATGAAAATTTCTTGTTCGTTTTCAAATGTCAGAGGTAAGCATGGCTGCAGAGTTGGAAGGGGCTTATCATTGTATCTTTCTGTTCCAATTAGTTGCTTCAAATCTACTCACTCCCCACAGTGTATCTCCACGCAGTTCTTTAACATCCTAACCCCCCTCCCAAATAACAGATATTCCTCCCAGCCTGCTTTATTCTTACCTCACAAAATAAATCCCCATTGACAGAGTCAGCAGAAAAACCTAGAGCTGCCCACACAAAACAATCCGATGTTTTTTCTCCACACTCCTCTCCTGCATGTATTGCCCAGCCTCATACCATTCTCACTTTTCTACCACACATACTGTCCACAGTCCTACTTTCTGCATACTTCTCTTGCACATGCTGCCCACCATCATAACCTTTGCACTCGTTCCAAGTATATACTACCTGCTGACATACCCCTTGCATCCCTTCTCCTTCACATATTGTCTACCATTATACTTCCCATACTCCTCTCCTTCACATACTGTCTATTATAATATCCTTTACACTCCTCTTCTGCACATGCTGCCCACTGTAATATACTCCACACTCTGCTTCTGCACATACTGTCCACTCTCATACCCTCCACACTCCTCCTCTGCATGTGCTACCCACCATAATACCCTCCACATTCTGCTGCTGCACATATTGCCCACTATCATACTCTCCACACTCCTCTTCTGCATGTACTGTCCAAAGGTATACCTTCCGTACTCCTCTCCTTCACATGCTGCACACCATAGTACCCTCCACACTCCTCTCCTGCACATACTGCCCACCGTCATACCCTCCGCACTCTTTTCCTGCACATACTGTCCACAGTTATACCCTCTGCAATCCTCTCCTACTATTACTGTACATAGTGTCTCTATGATTAAGCCTTTTTGGTGAAACATGTCAGAGTCTGTGGATCTTGTCATGCTTGTAACATTGTAAATTCCTGGGAATAAACCTTTTCATATCGAGGTCCTGGTTGTTGAGTGTGGCTTTAAATACATTTGATTACTGGATAG